GCTGATGCAGTAGAGCTGCATTTAAGATGATATGAAAAGAATGGACAGAATAGTTCTGTCTTCATCATAATATTAGAACTGAATGACATTGAACTATGAATTAGGTGAAAAGCAAAAATCAGGACAAGACCTGTCACCCAATGTATAAGTTTGTAAATTTTGATGTTTCAAGATAACGTCCGAAGCAATATGCATGATGTGTGAAAAAAGTAGATTAAAGGATATTTTTCCTCATTGATTAAATTCTACTGAACCACTCACCAGTTTTTTTATATTTTTGATCATGATATTTTTCTATGGAAACTGTTCAGAATGACTTGGAGGCATTGTATTTTTATGACCTGCTGATTGGTTCATAGTAATGCCATGAAGTATCAAGAATTTCATCTTCTATCCTGTTCAGTGTCTAAATGAAACTAATGTAATTATCCAATGATTTCATGAGGCACTAATAATGCAGTGACATATCTAATTCAATTCCTTTTCATTTAAATCAAGTAATTCTGATTGATTCAACAAGATTCTCCTTTTGCCATTATTTATTAAATTTGTTTTGAAGTTTGATTCTCCACAACTGTTCTTAACGAGGAGCAATCACAGGAACTCAGCATTTCATCAAAATGATGAAATGTGTACAGTGATATCACAATGCACACATCTTACATATTATGAATGATGTTGTATCACAAAAGTACAAAAGGGGCAAAATTTGCATCACATTATAGAGATAGCCATGTTATCATTAGTTAAAAACTGATCACTGATAGCAAAATTATTATTTAGATTCCAGCTGCTAATATGTCATATTACTTTTATAAAAAATATATATAAAACACTTATAAAAATATATGTAATGTTCCAAATGTGTATAAAACTTTATTCATTGTCAAAATTTAAATACTGTCAGTCTATAAATACTGTATAACAAAGCTTGCTACAATATATAATTTAAACTTAAGAGAGTCCATTTTCAGAATTTTAACTAACATCTGATTTTTAAAACAATATATCAAAGTACTACAGAGATATGGCTTGTCAAAGCAGATGTGATTTAACTCAGTTGGACCATTGGCCAATTAAGAATAATGCTTCCTCATTCTGAAATGATAGAGATATGTCACTGATATCTGTGGAAATGTCTAAAAGTATTGTTTCTAAATAAATTTGGCCAAATATCAATATACAAGGTGGATTATTTAGATAATCATAATATCCATCTTTTAATATTAGAATGTTTGTTTGTCATTTATTTTATTTATAATATCCACTTTTATTTACTTTTGACTTAATGTGATGTGTAAACCATTAAGTGTGTCCAATGTACGAATCAAATAAGCATGATTTGTTCAATAAATCAAGAATTGATATGCTAGTTTAATGTTTGATCCAATCTAATATGTTATTTACCTAAGAGATGTACCTGCTCTAATTATGGCTAGATGAACAGATTTATATATGTATTTCTTATGGAACTTTCAACAGTGTAATCATTCGATGTCATGTTCAAATTTCGAACATTGCCATAATATAGATATGACTATATATTACTTTGCAATAATTTTCAGTGAAATGCCTTTAATAGTTCAGCTATATTACTGAAGTTCAATTATTTAATTATTGTCCTAGCGTTATGTTGTTGATTACAGGACATACCAGAACATTGTTCATATTAATGGAATTATTGCTGTGAACCAGAATTATGAGTGTCCATATAGGTTTCCTAAATGTTGCACAAACATCAATTACTGTTGGGCAATATAAGACTAATAAATAAATTGTGGCATAGCTTTTTGAAGAAACTTTACTCTAGATTGTAAGATTTCACATTAGAGTTGATAACCTGGAAAGGCAACCATCGAAGAGAAAAAATAACCCTTCTTAGTTGCATCCCATATAGCAATAGCACTTAGATTTATATACTGCTTCACAGAGCTTTACAGCTCTAAGCGCTTTACAAAGTCAGCCTATTTGCTTCCAACCATCTTGGTCCTCATTTTACCGACCTTGGAAGGATGGAAGGCTGAGTCAACTTTGAGCCAGTCGGGATTGAACTTCTGGCAGTCGGCAGAATTACCCTGCAATACTGTATTCTAACCACTGTGCCACCATGGTTCAATACAGATTCAGGTTCAATATTTTGTATGTGTGTGAATTTAAGAAACATGATATGAGTAATAAAAGTTACGCTTTTTCATATTGTTTTTCTTTGCAAACCGGCCCTTTGGTTTAGACAATATGCTTAGCCATTGTCAATTTTACCACCGTTTACGTAATGTAATTGATTTTCTAGTTTTAGTCAAAAGAATTTAGTCAAAACTCTTTTATGATCTAAAGTATTATTTAATATGTGCTAAAACTGAGTGATTACTTCATTATTTCAAAATTTTTAATAATCCAGGAGTTTATATATTTTTATTTAATAAAACATTGTGACACATTGTATTACTTTTGAAAATTCCCTAAATTTCAAAAGTATTCTTACAGATTGAATAGAGAAAAGCATCTAAGTATTATAAGTGTGCCTTGAGTAAGTGTAAGAAATTTTTTGAAATTCATCCATAATGTACATATATGAAAGATAATAACAATAATTTATTAAATGCATACGCCAAATCTGGGTTGCTAACAACAATAAAAGAAAATACAAAAATAAAATAAAAATAAAAGATGATAACTGCATAAAGTGAGGGGTCTTGGTCTCATTCTGAGTGAAGAGCCAGGTCTTTAGGGCTATTCTAAGTGCAGCAGAATGAGGGCCATGGGGGCTTTAATAACTTTATCATATAGATGCATATTAGGGAACCTGAATTAGCAGAAATCTTGACATCTGTGACATACTGGTAAAATAATTATTTTCTAAATCATAATTTTTAAAATGGCCAATGAGCTCCCTACAATTTTATATACCCTTTGGCATTCCTTCCCTGTAAAAAGAAAAACAAACATTAAGAATGACACAAAAATCTACATCCTAGAGAAACTTTTTCTATATAGAAAGAATATTCTTTCTTATTCAAGTGCTAAAAATAGTGAGCACAATAATATTTTACAAAGAATACCTACATTTTGAAACCAATTTATTTTATTTTTATTTTATTAAAAAAATTGTTACTAAAGTTACCACCAAGTAACTCTTCAATTTAAAATCTTTTCCCAAATTTGCTTAAGTCTCTCTGCCCATCACATTATTTCATTATATTGCACAATTTCTATAAATTCTGAGATAAGTTGATTAACAGGCATACACTGATGGTCAGTGACAGATTAACATGATAAATGATAACATTTATCATTACTTTAATAGCAAGAGCACTTAAGACTTATATACCATTTCATAGTGCTTCACAGCTCAATTGTGATTACTATTTGGGGGAACATGTATTATATGTATTATACTGAATAGTTGCAGAGATTTCAGAAAAATTGATCCTAAATTTTCTCTGATACCAGATTGCATGTGACTAGATGGGTGGGGAAAACTGTGGTTACTTATTGTTGAAAATCCCTGACAGCTACTCTTCCAGTTCAATATTGTAGTGATATGATATACACCAAATTTATCACAAATAAATTCAAGGTATTCAAGCAAACTCCACATCACAATATACAGTACAATGTATTAGGCCAGTTAGGCAAGATCCAAAATATGCCAACAAATGTAAGTCTGATATTGATAACATGTTGGTTCAATTGAACAACCATAGGTTTAAATTTGATTTCCAGCAGATCAGCCATGTTAGTCTGTTGAAGCATATGAAAACCTCAGTGAATCTGAAAAAAGAGCCATGCAATAAAGTGGACAACAATTCAATATACCAGATACAAAATACGTTGTATGAAGTTGTCTGTATTCCATGGAAAATCTGCCATAATAACGTGTCTTGCCGTAATGAAATGTCGTCTGAATAATCATCACTAGTTTTTTCCAGCAGTGATTTTAAGGTTCCTATATAAAGGTAGATTTGGCATCTCAAGTATATTTTAAATCTGAATCGTGCAGCTTTCTCATCGTTTTGCTGTGCTAATACTGACCGGGAAGCTTTTGACAGCAAAGTCTCATTTCAATTTTTTTCTTCTTCTTTCATTCCTGAGGAGGGGTGCTACTTCTAACTAGGAAAGTATCCGTCTGCTCGGCAGCGCCTCCAAAAGGGGCATTTTGGGCGTTATGAACTTCTCTTTTCGGGATTCTTGGCCTCTGTGGGAGCAGTCCAGCTTGGAGTCATTTCTGCAACCGCCACTAAAATTCAGTCCCGCGGCAATTGTTTACCAGCCCACCCCCCCTTGAAAGTCGTCACACAAAGCCCTGCTTTTCCGTGGGGCACCACATGCCGGCGACCAAGAAACCCACTTCTAGGTCCAAGGGACTTGGGAGTTTATGACCCAAGAAACCCTCCCACGTCAGTTAATGGACATTTGTATGCGCGTGTACGAGCGCCCGTTTCTTCCCAGAGCCGAGTTCCCCCTTTCTCTTTTCTACCTGCGACCCTGGCACCAAACTGCCCACAGGTCTAGAAAAGACCGATTTCTAGGTACGTGATCGCATTTGCGTGTATCTGCGCGTGCACGCGCCTCGCGCGGGAGACCGTGTTCGGGGCCGTATGTGAGCGCCTCCGTGTGAGTGTAGTTGCGTGCGTTTTTCTCTTTGGGTGTAACAGGCGAGCTGTATGGCTGGCTAATCTGTCCTTCAGTTCGCGAGCCAATGGCAGGCTCCCTTCTATAAAAATGAATGTTTTCGGTCTCTCAGGCTTACATGTACTGTATGTGAAACAGTGTGCGGTGGGCTCTGTTCAGAGCTTCTCTCTTCACTTTCGCATAAAGAAACCCTGAGTGACCACTGCTGCTAGCGCTCTCCCTCTCTTTCTCTCAGTCTCTCTCTCTCTTTCTCTCATATACATACACACACAAGTGGGAGGTAAGTGCCCCGGTCTCCCCCTTTTTTCCTGAGCGACTCTGGAGAACAGGCTCCTCTTCCCAACACTTCCCTTTCTATTATTACTCACTTAAAAGCATTGGGGCAACCCCCAAGGACTCCGCCAAGCAGCTCTGCCACCGCCGCCGCCAGCAGCGATAGCCGCCACAACCGGCAGGCTGGACTCTTCAGAGGAAGGCGCAGACCTTTTGACGTCCTTTGCCTCTTGCCTCAATTCCCGTTCACTTTCCGCCTCAACGCTCGCCTGTCCCCTGAAACTTTGGATGGGGGAGCCCGAGAGAAGGTCAGCGGATGGTGGGTTGGGGGTTCCGTGGTTTGTGTATGTGTGTGCGGCTGTTTGCGCGCGCGCCCGCCCGCCGGGATTGTGGGGTGGGGGGGGCTGGGAGGTGGGAGAGGCGGAGGAAAGAGGTGAGTTGTAATGCAATGCATTAGGAGGAAAGGCGGCGCGGGAGGGGGACGAGGGTAGGCCAGCCAGTGCCAGGCGGCGTTGGAAAAGCAGCACCTCTCTCACCACGCAGAGACAGGAGCAGCCGCGGCGGCAGCAGCAACGGAGAGAGCGGAGGAAAATAAAATAAAAGCTGGCGCCCCACCGGAGGAATGAAAACAACCTTCCCTTTCTCCTGGTGTGTGTGTGTCTTGACAGGGGCAGCAAGAAATGAAACTTAATTGTAAGAGTGGAGGCACGGAGCTGGCGGGGGCATGTTGGTGCGTTGATTTATTTGCGTTGCGTGGCTCGTGTTTTGTGTCAGAGTGGGCGGCGAGGGGGGAAGAGAGAAGCTGGGTGCGGGGCGGAAAGCCATCTAGCAGGGCTCAGTTTAGACTTGTGAGTTAGGAATCGGCATTTTCCGGTACAGAACCATATCTTGCAAGCACTTTCACTCCCTCCGTTCTGCCACACAAACAACAAAATGTGCAATTATTAGGCGATTTTTTTTTTAAAAAAGGAGATAGTGCGAGCCGAGGGAAAGAATAAAAGAGATTGTTTGGGGGGGGGAGGAGGAAAGGACGTAGGAGGAGAGAGGCTGTGTCAGGATTTTGCATGAATGTGGGATTATGTTATGTCAATAAGTTTAAGGTGGAGAGCGAGCGAGGCTGGGGGGGAGAGGAAGGCCTTGGCAGTTTAAAGTCCTATTTCTAAAGGTAAGTTGTAACACCAAATGGTCGCGATGACAGAAAACTTGCAGATTATTTGCCCAGGAAGAAGAATGTGTGTCTTGGAGGCGTTATTGAGGTTTCAACCAGCAGACGGGGTGGTAAACTGTTATTTGCTGCTGCGAGATCGGGTCGATGGTAAATTACAGAAATCAGACTTGCATCCTGCTCTCTTCTTCCTCCCTCTTCTTTCTTTCCTCCCGGGTGTTTTATGTGAAACTTGCATAGCTGGATCCAGCATCGGGGCTTTTCTTTTTTTAAAAAAAACAACAACAACAGTTGAGCAAAAGGAGATGGAGAACGTCTCTTTAATCCCAGGATCTAGAAAGCGGTAGGTTTGTGTTAGGAATATCTCTGTAACAATCCGCTGCCGTTGAATGAGGAAGGTGAAATGAAACGGTGCAAAAAGAAGCTGAGGCAACATGTACGACCGAGGGGAGTGTGTATGGTGGGGGGAGGTGGAGACAGAAACGCTACCGTCCGTTTTCCTTTTTCTGTCGGGGGGGGGGGAGAAAAAGAGGGGGCGGGGAGTAAAGCAAATACCCGGGTTGCGGTCATTCATGTCACGGTCAGCGTTTCGTTCTTGATTAGTTCATTTATTTTTCATTTTCTGTTTCCCTTAAAAAAAGTGCAAGGGGCAAATTAGCGACTACTTGCCGGTAGATGTCGGAAAGTTTGTCAGAGACATGCGGGGCGGGTGAGTATGGGAAGGAAAGAAGCAGGCTGCTTAGGACGATCACTTGGCCTGAGGTTTTGAAACCATTGCCTGTCCTAGTCTTGACACGTTTAGATCCCAGCTCTCATCCCATGCACGGATGAGATAGGGACAGTTTATTACCCAGCCAGACGCTTAGTTATGTTGGGGGGTCTGTATGCGCGCACGTTTATATCCCCTCCCCCTTTCCAGTCCGTCGGTCCCCAAACGTTAGAAGATGGAGCTACCACAGGATTCTGAGTTTCCATGTGGCTTCAGCAGCGGCACCTCTTTCTCCTCCTCCCCGGTGGCAGCAGCCGCGGGATCATAGCTTGGGCCTGCGCGGGGGGGGGGGGAGAGGAGGAGGAGCAGGGAAGTAAGCAGCGGCAGAAGGGAGGTGTTTTCTGCCAGTGTGATTCACCAAATATCGCTGGGGAGGCAAAGGGTGTGGAGGAGGAAGATCGGGGCAGATCTGGCATCCCCCTCTCCGGGCACCCATACTGTCTCTCTACCTTCTCTCTTCTGCTTCAGGCTCTCCTGCAAGGTGTTGTGTAGACTTTTCCCCAAGGAAGGTTGAGATTTATATACTGCATGACTGCCTTTCATTAAGCACCCCCACCCAGCAAGATGGACTCTCTTTTCCTCACTCTCTTTCCCTCTGTCTTGTCAGCCTTTAAGATCGACATTTTGTAACTAAGATGCAAACTTGATGGTGACCAGAAGGGAAAAAAAAAAAGAGAAAAGCCCTAGGTTTCTTCTGCTGCTCTCCATATTTAATAACCTCGGTCACCCTCAGACCCGGCTGGCCCTGCCTACACTTTGCATGGTGGGGTAGGTGGCTAGTAGGGTGGGGGTGGTTTGCAAGCAAAAGCTCTTTTCCTTTTCTGTGGGCTGGTGGGAGTCAAATCTTTGTTATTTTTTCCTTTCTTTGGATTTTCTTGGTGAGAAAAGGGAACATGGATTTTAATCAGGAAGTACGCTACAATGTTGCTGTTTCTCCTCTGTAGATCTCTTATCTACAGTTTGGATTCCAGACCAGATTTTATTTGGTAAATGATGGTGATGTATGATAGTGAAATAGTTTAAATATATATATATATATCCCAGATTGAACAGTTACATGTGCACATCAAGGGGATTTCCTTCCTGTTTTGATTCTTATTTCAATGTGAGTTCAACTTTCTTGGTATTTGCCATCTTGGATATATCAGATATAGTGGTCCAAGACAAGAGAGTGAAGGAAAAACAAAAATAAGTCATCCTTCTTATTGCTTAGTCCCAGTGTCCTTTTATAAGCATGATGCTTCTTTTGTTAGTCATTTAGTGTTCTACTTTTTATTTTCTCAAGGCACATCCTAATTCACATTTTAATAACAACTTAATGTTGGGGGGTTAAAAGGTGAAGCAAAATAAGTTGTAAGTTTGGGGTTCCATCAGCCTTGCTGCAGTATTGATATTCCTTTATTTAATATTTTCTAGGTCACTATCACACGTCAAAGCTTTGGAGACAGTTTAATTTTCCTGCCCTTGTAATTTTCATTTACCATCCCAGGTAAGTATGTAAATTGTATATACAAATTACTGATAATAATAAGATAAAATCTGCCATTTGGGCTGCCTTATCACATGTTCTTCATAAAACATGTCTCCCATTAGCACTGTCAGCAAATGCATACTGTACATATGCACTATATGTACAGTATGTGCAAGATGTGTTAATACATAAATTAGATTTTGTTGAAAACTTATTTTTAATAAATACTTTAAACACATTTAGAATTTTTAAGACATAAGCCTCCCTTCTCAAATAATTTTTGTTTATAGTGATTAATATTTTGTAAGAAATTCCATAGATTATTAAAATATGCAAAAGAATTATACAATAAGGAGTTTCACAACAATAACAAGTTGAAATGGTAATAATTAAAAAGTTATGGGTTAAAAATAAAATAGAGTAAACATGCCTTTTAGAACTAGGAACAAGTTCATCTGATTTTAAAACTCATATTCTATACAACACTGATGCTTACCTGAATTTCTCTTATCTTTTTTATATTAATTTTAATTAGTTCTTTTTGTTGTATACATAAAAGTTGAGTATTTCTTTCATACTACTAATAACTAAATATCCCTACTACGATATCTATTATGGATGGCATTCTTATAAATAGGCTAGTGTAATAACTCTGTTATTATTTCATTCACTTAATATTAGGATGTGTGTCTTTTTAGAACTTGGGGAGAAATTTCACCTCCAAGTCAAATTTACTTTTTTTTTTTGTATACTTTAAATTTCCTAGTGTAAATAATTTTTCAGATTTAAAATATCTATACATCTATAAAGCCATCCATCTCACTGGAAGTGATTCTGGAAAGCATACAACAAACATGTGGAAATAAAATATTAAAAAAACCCTGATTCATTATTAAAAAGTTTTAAAAAGCGTAAGGCATACATTAGAATAGTTGGATTAGTCTACTAGAGAATAGTCACCTCAAACTCCCACTGGTACCCTGAGATGACAGAGCCAGGTTTTGAGGAACTTACTGGAAAGTAAGTAGGGATGGAACTAAGGGGGCGGAGGAATGTTCCATAAGGAGGGCACCATGGCAAAGAAGGCATGTCTCCTCAGGCCCACCAAATGTAATTCCTTAACAGTGGGATCCATAGCACATTTTTTTCTGCTGGATTTGAAGGGCAGATGTAATTGAGGTGAGCAGTCCCTCAGATAACCTGCCCCCCCCCATATAAAGGGTTTAAAGGTCAAAAATAGCACCTTGAATTGCAACCAATGCAGACCAGAGGTGTAACAACTGGTATGCTATCCTGTTATCATCCCCTGATAATAAGCCCAATCAGGCTTTTGAGTACATGGCAATAAGGCCAAGCGCCTATTTCAGGGTTCAAAAAAATATAAGACAAGGTCTTATTTTTGAGGAAACCTAGTAGGAGCACACATAACTGAGCCACTGCATTTTGCACCAACTAAAGTTTCTGGATACTCATTAAGGGCAACCCCATATAGAATACATTACAGTAATCCATATGGGAGGTGACAAGGGCATGAGTGACTGAGCAGAGCCCTCCAATTCATTAATAAGCACCATTGGTACATAACACAAAGTTGTGCAAAGGCCATCCTAACCATGACTGCCACTAGATTTTTGAGCAGGAGTTGTAAGTCCAGAAAGGCTGCCAGATTGCACACTGGGTCTGTCTAGGGTGTCCAACCCAAGCACTAAAGTTTGTATAGTCCTATAACTGGCAAGGCCCCAACCCTAAAAATTCTCAGTCTTGCCAGGGTTAAGATGAAGCCTGTTTTTCCTCATGCAGACCTTCATATCCACTAGGATAGGATATTTACTGCATAGCTTAATTTCCCACTATTAGGAATAGTAATAATAATTATTAGTAATTATTGGAACATGGCATCTATAAGAACACTAGTTGTATTTTAGGTCCTACAATTTTTTTAGTTATTTTTAGTTATTTAACTATATTTATAGCCTGTCCCAATCTTGAGAGACTCAGGATATAAAAAATGTTTGAACAATAAAAATGAAAAAATTAAGGCATCATCAATAAACATGGTGGGTGTTGTTGAGACTCTATATTCTAAACTAAGGGCCAAACTCACACTGAATAAAATTAATTTGATCTGCTTACAAAATATCAACCAAGTTGGGCCTTTTAAAGTTCTCTGGCAGGTACCTCATAAAGTGGGACTACCCTGGGAAGTCCTGTTACCTGATTCATGCCCCATGAACTTTGTACAGAGGTGGGAATTGTGGCAGGCCCTCTCTTGATTATTAGACCAGACTTGCAGACTTGATTCTGCATCATGTTGCTTGATATATTATTGATATGCCTTATTATGGACTATGTGCATTTGTCTCCATATATAAATGTTTTTAAAAGGTCTTAGTAGTTCACTCTTACATGAATGGATGCTTATATTTATTTTGCCATTTTAAATATGTTATGCTGTTATTTTGGGTAATGAGTAGTTTCACTCCCCCCCTTAATTTTTTTATTTTATTCAGAACAAAGTTAAAATACAAAATGCAAAATCCCAGAAGACATAAAAGAAAAAAACCCATAAAACATAAAACAATCAGAACATTAAAAAAGGTGCATCAGAGCAATAACCACAACCATATTTTATACATATTATCCCCTCTAGTTGAGTACTGATTATATATATATATATATATATATATATATATATATATATATATATTACTACAACATCAGTTTCTACCTCTTTAGAAACAGGCCCACCCAAAATTTTTAAATTACTAAATCTATTAACAACTTACTGACTTGTCTTCTAGTGACAAAGTATTTAAGGAAAAACAATAATAATAAAACAACAAAATTTCAAAACTCTCTGTTAACCAACTGTTATTGTAATCTACTTGTAGAAAATTTACCATGACACCTTAACTATCCCGAATCATCCCAAAAGTTATAAATAGATTGTCCTGGTCAAAAAACTATGTTTGTTTCTTAATATCCTCTCTTGTCAATTGTTTAATTAAATGTAGTAAATTCAATCGCCAGAATAGGTCTATCTTCAAGTCAGAGTGCAAGCAGAAGTAGTTACCAGTTAACTGTAATAAATCCAGCAGTCTCCCTTTATCTGCATCCTCTTCCAAAACTTATAACATATAATACGATGTGGTTTAATGATTATGTATTAAGAATATCTCATCTCTGTCATATGAGTGGTGAACAAAGAATTTGTTCAGATTCCCTACTGCAATATTCTGGCATAAAAAAAATTCCTCTACCTCACAGCAGTAGCAAGATAATGGATGTTCAAATACCTTAATATACAACTACATTAAAATTCTATGCCAAATATGAAGTATGATGATGTAGGAAGGCAAATTGTTTTGTCTTCTTTAACATTGTTGTATTTACTGCAGAGTTTTAAGAAAGTGATGAATACAGAAAACTATACTGTAAGTAAATATTTATTGTCCTGACCACCATTGTACACACACACACATACACATATATCTTCATTTATTATGCATTATAAATATGCAATTGTTTCAAAGCATTACAAGTATAAAACTTCTTTGAACAAACTCTTATCATAGGTTAGTTTTAGAGGCAGTTTAGGGTTTAGAAAAAAATTTAATTTTTAAAGACAATACTGAAGTAATTTATTGTAAATTTGCACACTGAGTTGTAAATGTCCAGAAACTCAAATATGTACAACTAGTCCTCGACTTACAATCATTCATTTAGTGATTGTTTGAAGTTACAACGGCACTGAAAAAAGTGACTTATGACCATTTTTCACATTTACCATTGCAGCATCCCATGGTCACATAATCAAAATTCAGACCCTTATCAACTGGTGCATATTTATAACAGTTGCAGTGTCCCAACTTTCTGACAAGCAGTCAGTGTTGAAACCTGATTCATTTAACAACTGTTTTACTAACTTAATAACTGCAGTGATTCACTTAACAACTGTGTCAAGAACGGTTATAAAATGGGTTAAAATTCACTTAATAACTGTCCCACTTAGCAACAGAAATTTCAGGCTCAACTTTAGTCGTAAGTCGAGGACTTCCTATATATCAACACATTTTTGTTAATAAGTTTAGATTTAGGTAAAATTTATTTATTTGTTTATTTATATCCCATCTTTATTACTTTTACAAATAAGGTAGCGTATATATCCAATATACGTTCCTCCTCCTTTTTTCTCCATAACAACCCTGTGAGGTGAGTTAATAGCAGAACCATCAGCTAAATTCCAGTATTGCCTTTATCTTTATATCTTTTATATCATGTTTGAGTTGAATAAATAAGATTCGGCTTTTAATTAACCACGTGGAAAGAATGGTTAAGTTTGAATCAAATTCAAAGCTATTTGAGAGTATAATTAATGAATTTATTCTACATATGTTTATTTGGCTGAATATATTAAGTATCTTTAGAATATTTAAATAAAATCCAGATAAATGCAGGTGTTTGTAAATAGATAACTACATTTGTTAATTGTTTAGTTACTTTACAACAGAGCTGCTTTTTGAGAGAGCTTTTGATCTTGGCTATCGCTGAATTCAAAGATAGTGATTGGTGGAGATTGTTTTTGAACATTTGCAACTAGTGTACAGTACCTCCTACTATTTTTCTTGAGCCAGTAAGTTGGTAAAGTTATCCGTGGCTTAATTAAATCCTGTCTTAATTACTGCAGGAAACAATCCTTGAAAAGGTTCTACAAGTAGTAATTAGTTGAAAAAGTGACAGCTATGCTTCTGTACCATACAAAGTACAAAAAACACATGGTACTTGTATTCATCTTTAATATCATAAAGGTGTAACAATAGCCTAAAGGTGCATCTTAAGGTACAACTAAACTATATTTTTAGTTACAAGCTTGCCAGTAATCACAATCTGCAGGAGAAGTCCTACTGACGATTTTCCTGGTATCAGGTGCTTGTTCTGTTGTGTATTTATTAGATTCATGTCCTTATTTTTGTCTCAAGGTGGCATGCAGTGTCCCTCATCTCATTTCCAACAACAGT